ATATGTATGTATGTATATATATATATTATATGTACATAGATATAGATATATATATATGTGGGTGTGTGTGTGTGTATGTGTGTGTTTGTGTGCCTGTGTCTGTGTCTATGTCTGTGTGTTTTTGTGTATGTATGTATATATGTATGTATGTATATATATATACATATATATATATATATATATATATATATATTATATCTGAAGTTTTTTGAACGGAAAACATACTACGGCTATTACCTTTCCTGACAACAGTTGGCAGGGGTGTATGCATATCCCAAAGTGTATGCAACCTGCTTGCGTTTAACTCTCTTGAATCCAGCTTCAAAATGCGTATTATAGCAGAGCTCGAATGTCACCCATTACTATACGATACAGTTCAGTATAGCACCTTTCATGAGATATTGTACTGGATGGGTGGAGGAACGCTTCGTATTGTGGCAGCTCTGCCACGAAATAATCCACACACTCAGAACGCTGAAGTATGGCATGACTAGGGTTTGTTCCATTTGATTAGCAATATACTATATAATTCACAGCGCAGTTGCGGACCAGAAGCTGCCATATATCACTTCACTTGAAACCGATGTGCATGCTTCGAAACGGTAGTCAAAATCTATCGGTGTGTGTCTGCAGTAATGTTTTGTAACACACATGCATGGTTGGCGTGTGCCATAGGTTAATCGCAGTGTTCAGTTAATATTGAAACATATCACGACTTGGCGACAACATAGAAGCTACCATGCGTTTCATTTAGATATTTCCGCAGGAGACTTGGTCACCAGTCACAACATGAACCTTGGTGGCGCAGACGGGCCGTTATGGCCTTGGCATGGAATTAAAGTGGCAGTATAGCCTCGCTCAGAATCAGAGGATCGCCTTATATTTGAGTAGTGCTTTCAGACATTCTGCCTTATAAATTTGCCTACAAGCGATCTGGTCGATTGTAGACTAGAACTCAATATCCAAAATAGAAAACTCTTCCCTCTCATCCATTACAGAGAAGGCTTTAACAGATGTCACGGTGCTATACCTTGGCACGGCAACGTATGATCTCCCAGACCCCATGCATAAACAAACTGAGCGCTTCAAGGAAGCCGGTTGTACTATCGACTGCCTCAATGTAGCTATAGATACACCGCCTACGCAGAGGGTATGCACTTAACTGAATTTAAACCTGTACGTGCCTGATCTGCGTGCTGCCGACTTCGTCCAATTCTGAATATGTAATTGGTTCTGCATGCCGCACGGTTGCGTGGAAAATGCACACAGCTACGATGAGACAGCCATGTAAACCCTAAATCCCTAAATACATATGTTACACTCTCACATAACTTCAGGCTACAATGAGAGCCATGTAAACCCCCAAATCCCTAATTATATATGTTACACTCTCACGTAACTTCAGATCGTCGAGGCCGTTCAGAAGGCTGACATTGTGGTCGTTTCCGGAGGCAACACCCTGTACGCTGTAGACCGTTGGGTGAAATTGGGTATAGACAAACTCTTGCGTCAAGCGGTCGAAAGACGGGTTGTGATGTGTGGTGGTAGTGCTGGGGCCATCTGCTGGTTTGATTCGGGCCACTCCGATAGCATGGACCCCGACTCGTATCGAAAGAACAAACTCGCAGAAGGTGAATATTTTCAGTCTTGTGTATAACTAAGGGGTGTAGTGATTTGCAATGATTGGTATTGTGGTTTGATATTCACTTTGCGACTGCTAAAAGCCTGTGGCAGTTTAAATGATGAGTATACTAAGTACATGCGCCATATGGTTGTTTTTGTGCAGGTGAAAACAGTTTGTTTGGCAAGGCTTGGATCTGTGCTCGTTAGTACTAAACTATCAGTTTCGAGACGTGAAGTTGGTGATTCATTACGGGAAGTCTGCATTTCCTTTTTCGCCCAATCTTCCTGCACATAGATTATATCCTTCTGTTAAATTTGTTTGTTCTTTATTCTGTATTCAAGGTGCTTTCTCGATGTCTCTACTACCACAGGATCTGACAGTCGTGACGATAGTGCTGCACCCGAATCGGCTGATGATGCCAAACCGTGGAAGTATATCAGGGTTAATGGCATGGGATTTTTGCCTGGACTATGTTGTCCTCATCATGACAGGTAGATACGTGGAAGCTTCCCGCTATTTTCTAATGGTTTTCGTATATGTGTATACCTGCTGTCATATAGGTACATGAGATCAGACTGTGTGTACCTGTCATATACCGTTTGTATCCACGTATGTTCACGTGCTTGATTAACATACTATAGCGCCAGCTACATAGTCACTTGGACGTGCACAGAATACGAAGTAGCATGTTACTAGCATACTGTACAAAGAAGATCTGTAGAGCCCCCTACCAAACTCATCGCGATGTTTTCGCCCCAAAGTAAGTTCATAGAGATGTATGTTCGAAGTGCATCCAAATTGCCTCCTTGTTAAGTCGACAACTGAAATTGAGCTTACTTAGCGCAACCCTATGTAACTGTGTGAGCTTCTCCTTCATTTCAAATCCCTAGCTATCTCCTAACCCACTCCGTACCCACCGCCCTCGCAGAGTCCAGAGCAATGGTGTACTCCGCGCAGTTGATTTCGATGAGATGTTACAGCGCCACCCGGGCGAGACGGGTATCTGCATTGACCACTGGGCTGCACTAGTAGTGAATGGAGACTCTTACACGGTCATATCCCCAGAAGGCACGGCGGGTTCTGTGACTGCGACGGGAAAATACACAACCGAAGTACTATGTGGTTTCCTATAATTGTGCTACTTGAGTTGTTGTTAGGCGATATGTATGGATGAGCTAGTTTGCGTTTGTCACTTTCGCTGTCACCGCTTCGCTTGTTTTTCAGTAGGTATCGTACTCTACCTGGTGTTTATTGTGCGATAGTTCGTTGTGAAGTTCGAATATGTAAGGTGCAGCGTATCAATCATGTTCATATGAAATGCTTGATAGTAATCGCGCTAGCAATCACATTTATGTTGTGTGTATACGTCTTCCATCACCAAAAGCGAGCAAACATCGTTTTTTAGCGCGGTCACCTCCCGCTCTAAAGGCTTAACTGCTCAAACAGCCATTTGTCTATTGGGATGTAGTGGTATAACAATTTCAACGCCAAGAAACATGAAAAATAGCCTCTGAATATGTATATGAATAGAGCTGGCTGTAGTATGTAATTAGTCTCACTTTAAGTTAGGAGTGGGTTTGGGAACGTTTTATTTGGTCGACGTATTGACCTTCCCAGGCAGCTATTTACTACATTGGTTTTTACATAATGAGAGTGAGGGTGTTTTGATGTGCCTGTAGCTACAAGGTAAAAGACATAGTATCTATTGAAGATCGTGTTTGTTCTATCGATTTTGTATATAGTTTTCTCTTCGGGTTCCTTACCTTCCAGCAAGGCATGATGTACTTAGTAGAAGTACTATTAGAATTATACGCCTTAGAAGGTTATTGCTTGCATTATATCTTCCGTTGTCAACCGCGAAACCGCTCTATCTCGAGTATGCGGCTGTCGATATCTCCACACCTTTGTTGCTAGGAATTTTTTACCTGTTGTACTTAGCAAAGCACCAATACTGAATTGTGAAAAATTACGGATGTTGATATAATCAGGGCACAGGTAAACCGGGCATTTGGCTTAAATCAGTGGATGAGAGTGGCTCAGTGAACCAAAAGCTCGTACCCAGTCATGGGAAGCTCTCAAATATTCTCAAACCAGCCACTCAAGTAGTGGAGGATGCACGGGTTGACCAATGTAGGCAAGAAAATCCCAGTGTATGATAATTTAACAGGCACCCTTTAGTCCAGAATGTCTAATATATAAAAATTAAAACGGCAGTCCCCCCCCTCCA